GGGTTGCGGGAGGCATCCCGCAGAGGAGAGCGGCCGCCAGCTCCGTCGGGCAGGGAGGGCAGCCAGGGCAGCCGGCCGGGATGCGGGAGCTACGGCCCAATTCGGTTGCCCGAGGCGTGCGTGTAGCCCGTTTCTGGGGCTCGGCAGGTTGGGCTGCAGCTCTTTGTCGGAGCGGCAGATGGTTCTGCGGAGAGAAGCTGGCTTTTCCCAGCCATGGCTGAATTAACCTCTAACTGCACCCTCTCTCCCTGGTCTATTATAGTCTCATCCATCATTACAATAGCTCTTTGGTGCTGCATTGTGCCCCTGCCATTTGGCTTCCAGCGCAACACAGCGACACGCTTGCACAGCATTTGTGGCAATTCATCTATGCAAGATCTAATACGCTGTGGTGAAACTAGTGCCGATTAGTCAAACAGGCCGAGGGCTGCTGAAGGAGCCTTTAACCGTACAGTCAAGGGTAGGATTAGCCAGAGCAGGGCTACAAGTACGTACCAATATATAAGCACAGAACACACGACATGCCCTGAATTTCTACAAGAAATGCCATGTTTCCCTCTGCTGCCACTGCAGCAATTGCTCACGGCCCCGCTGTAAGGCTGGGGCTCCCGACCAGGGCACCACCAGAAAGTCAACCCACCTTGGTGGAACCGAGCAGCTCACATCTGGCAGGCACAACAGCAGGCTGGAGACAGTAAGGGCTCATTTTCCATTTTAAAGTACCAACAACTTTGCAGTTCTAGACTCTTGCCTGCCTTTTGCATCTACAGACAGAGGGCACTGCACGCCTCACTTTCCAAAGTATTATGACTTTTCCATAAGAGAACAGTTGGGGTTTTTTTAACAGACAGGATAAATAAGTACAGAGCAAAGCTTTCATTTCCTGAGGCTCCCTACCCACCACAGCACTGCAAGCAGAGGACCTCTGTTTTCAGCTTTTAACTTTTGAGATTGACAGACTGTGGGAAACTTTTGTTTTACAGATATTAATACAATCCAAAACCTGGAAAGACTGCAAGCTTCCAGTAGCCAATTTGCAAATAAATTTTAGAGGGAGAACATGAAACATTACACTTTTGGGAACTTGTTAATGTTGAACTCCTTTAACCAACCTGAGTAATGGAAAAAGTGAGAGACAAGCACATAGAAGACATCACATTAAAGAAAGAATTCAGTTACTTAAGAAGAAAAAATGCTGTTTAATCATAAGGTCTACATACAGTACACAAAGTTTTTTTACCTTAAAACTTGGCACACACCCCCCCAAAAAAAAAAAAACCACAAACAAACCTGAAAAAAGTACAAAATTCAGGGGCGGTACCACTGGAGTGAGGGTGCAGGTAAAGCCCTGCCCCTCTCTGAGGAATGGCACAGTCCAGTTCTAGTTGGGATGCAGTCAGAAGCCCAGGCACAGGCCCGAGTGAGGAATTTTTGTCATGCCTCGATTACCTTGAGCTGTTGCCAGTCATCACAACTACAAGCACAAAAGTTAAACTACTTTCTAAAATGGAGTGATTCACATCCTTTAAGATGACATTTGAAAGGTTCTAATGCTCTCAAGTCAGAGGAGGAACAAAGGGATTTTCTGAACTGGGCATGGTTCTTCAAAATCGACTTTTATTAGCCTAAGGGTGTTGTTTCACAAAAAGCAGTGAACTGATCCAAAGCTTTACCTTGCTCCCATGCTCCTCTGACAACCTCATTAACCCAGCCAAAAATTACAGAGCCTTCTGCTGGAGTAACCAGTTGAGGCTACTCATGGATGGGGTCCAAAAACCTGCGACTGCCTGTGGAAAGGGCATCAGAGCTGCCTGCTGCGGCAGCAGGCAGACTGGCCCCACTGCTCAGAGCTACAGGCCACGATACAGAAGGCAAAAATCACCCGAGTGGGACTTTAAATTTGTCCTCAGTGGTGACTTAATGCAGGGCTGCTCCTCACAAAGACCCATTAAAGCAGCTGATGTTACCCGACTCTACTGCTTACAGTTTCACTGCATAGTATTAGTTTTAGTGGGGTCTGCAGGGGAGGGCCCCCATCTTCCTTTGTTCAGGCAGAGATTCCACAGTAGAACAACAACTTGTGCAAGAAATTACATGCCTTGGGTGCAATTAAAGCAAAAACTCAGCAGCGCTTCCTTGGCCTTTGTCCTCACTAAAAGAAACCTCAGAGGAATTCTGCCACTGCATTAATCCACACACAGCTCCTTGGGAACAGACAGACTTTTCTAATCATATCTAGAGAGGGAAAAAAAAAAAAAAAAAAGGCATTTGTTTTACCAAGTGGGGAATTTTATTAGGTCAGAATAATAAACCTAGTAACAGCAAGATGATTATAGCTAGAGGCAAGACCTGCTCTCTTGTAGGGACGTATTACCCTACCAACACCACCACGAAGCCAATAATTCACACATAAGAAAAGCTGCAATAAATACCATGAGTCCAGCCTGAACAGTGACACAAGGGAATGGATGAGGAACAAAAATTCATTTTTTCTAGAAATCATGAACAAACACCTAGGCCTCAGTGAAACAGCTTTCCAGACCCAGGCTTCATTAGGAGGCACTCAGCCCTCCCAATTCCAGCTGATTCCATGAACCAGCCCAGGATTTTGACGGCAGGAAAGCAGCAGGACTGATCTGACAGCTGGCTCTCGGCCAGCACACCAGGCACTGGGGACAGAAGGCGCCTGTGGCAGCTGGCCTCAAAGACCTACACCTTCAAAATGGAGAGTCATTAGATAGCCGGAGGAGAAGCTGACAATACAGTCGTGTAATCTATCCAAACAGAGACAAAGGAGAAAGCAAAGAGCAAGAAAGTGATGTGTTTGGCTTAATTAAAACAATATTTTCCTCATTACTGCAAGCTGTGGGACAGAGGTTCTGTTTTAAGCCACAAACCCAAGGTATCTGGTATCCTCTTCAGCCACATCATGCAGGCCACATCTTAGTAGCTGCTCAGTCTGAAACTCCAGTTTTCAAACAGGCACTTGCCCTTTCCTGGGAATACCAGGCAGAAATTCAGACTCAGACTGTTTGCTTTAAGATGGCTTCTAGAAGACTTCTGAGTAAATGCGCAGCGTTTTCCGGCAAGAATCTGAGCCTCGTCACCAGACAACTAGCTAACGTGTAAAAAATGCAGGAGGGAGGGTGAAAAGAAAGGGAGGCAGAGGGAAGGGAGCTGTGCTGGGAGCAATGACCCTTCTCCTCCTCCGGCGCAGGAGGAGCTGCCGCTGCAGTCTGCAGTTCCTTAGGTGACCCCGCAGGACTCAGCCGTGACTCATCTCCTTTGGGAGCTCTCCTGGAAGCACCCAGGAGCGCTGGCTGCCTGTGTGCCACCCAGAGATAGAGCGCGCCCAGCCTGCCCCAGCTGGGATGGGCCACCATGACTCTTTCAATTCCCTCTTATCTTTTCAACTGTAATTTCTGAAAGACGAAAAGGCGAGCACTTCCCACTTTTTAGAAAGCTGAAGTTAACCCAGTGCTTCTTGCGCCATGCCATAAAATCTAAATGTCTTGGCCCCTGCTGCTTAAATAATTAAACTGCCTAGTGACATTCAACTACATTAATACGTTAGGGTGACACAGCATAGTTCACTGAACGCTACAAAGAACCCCAGGTCGCCTCGTTATAGGAACCCTGGCACAAGTGCTTAGCTATTCTAGTCAATATATTAAGGCAACCGCGGGCCAGTGCCAAATACAGGGCCACAGAGAGCGCTGGCCGGGGAGAGGGAAGCACACAGCTAGTGCCCAGAACAGCGAGTTCCACCAAGGTCACATCGTATCACATGAAGAACTGGGGATTGACCAAGAGAAAGGGCATCCTTAGTACTCAGAAGTTAGAAAGTCAACTCCTCACTGCACTAGAAAGTTAACCAGGAAAACAGCTAGTGAGAAGCGATGCCCCTCCGGCAGCCCAGGCCCAGGCTTGCTCTCACACAGCCCCTGTTCTCCTTAGGCTAAATGATGTAGGTTCACATACCAAACAGCTCTGCCTTTCCAAGCAACTCACGATCTAAAAATTTCAACAATTTCTCTTACAGCAGAATTCCCCGCTGCAAGCCACTTTTAACTGCCAGAAGCTCCCCTGCAGCTCACTACATGTGACTTAGAAAAAACTAAGAAGTCTCCGCTGCCTTTCCACATTGACAGTAGTTATGCACAGCTACGCTTCTCCACCACGAAGTCTGGGGCATCATTAAAGCGTGCTCATGTCCCACATTCAGAGGGACAAATATAGCGATAGGACATGAACAAGAACAAAGATTCATTTACCATTTGCGACAAGTAGGTCTGCAAGAAAAAAAAAAACCCTCCCCCTTCTCCCAAAACCATGTCATGTTATAATATATGCAACACAGCACAGAACTGCAGCATCACCATTTTGTAGGGCTCTCAAACAGAAGACCATGTCCTTATTATGGCTTTGCTGT